TTTATTTGTAACTATAATGTTCTAATAACCTCTCCGTGGTTAGCAATACTGACACTTTTATTATTTTCACTATTATTTCTTGTTACTGTAATTGTTCCCATTATCATGTTTTTACTAGTTTTTCAATCATTATTACTAATGATTTTTCATCATTATCGGTAATATTACTATCCATTATTTTTATACCTTTGAAACCGTCTTCTCTAAAACTTTTACTATAATAATGATGGTGATGATAATTGTGATAATAATAATGATGATAATACTTATAGGTATAAATTTAACCCAGTGCCAATGTGCATGACGTGTACATGTATGTCATGTCCACTCTGAGTTTACTTGTTTAATTGTTTTTACACATCTATGGCTTCACTTGTACTAAGTCACCAATGAGCCAATTAGGAGTACTGCCTGTTTCGCCTGTTCACCTTTTTCATTGATCTATGAATTTTTTTTATGTTTTCTTATTATTAATGTTTATAACATTATAGTAATTATAATCTTTATAATAAAAATAACACCATCAATATTCATAGTACTATAATCAACATCATGATCACAATATAATTTTATCTTTGTTATCAGATTTGATTAATGTTATTAACACCAATTTGTTCATCCAGATATTTCTGGTTCAGATATGTACTTCTCTACTTATAATCACATGGAAAAATTTAACAAACATACATAATTACTTTTTTTTGCATTTGTAGGCTATTGCCAAAATTAGAAAATAGGCTATTAGATATTATGACTTCCTCTCCTTCAAAGATTCATCTTAATAATATTAAGAGCTATTCACATTAAGAAAGGTTAAAAAATAACAAACATGTAAACTTTCAACATCATCATATTTATTTGTAACTATAATGTTCTAATAACCTCTCCATGGTTAGCAATACTGCCACTTTTATTATTTTCACTATTATTTCTTGTTACTGTAATTGTTCCCATTATCATGTTTTTACTAGTTTTGCAATCATTATTACTAATGATTTTTCATCATTATCGGTAATATTACTATCCATTATTTTTATACCTTTGAAACTGTCTCCTCTAAAACTTTTACTATAATAATGATGATGATGATAATTGTGATTATAATAATGATGATAATACTTATATGTATAAATTTAACCCAGTGCCAATGTGCATGACGTGTACATGTATGTCATGCCCACTCTGAGTTTACTTGTTTAATTGATTTTACACATCTATGGCTTCACTTGTACTAAGTCACCAATGAACCAATTACGAATACTGCCTGTTTCGCCTGTTCACCTTTTTTCATTGATCTATGAAATTTTTTTATGTTTTCTTATTATTAATATTTATAACATTATAGTAATTATAATCTTTATAATAAAAATAACACCATCAATATTCATAGTATTTTTTCCGCCAATTCAAGGAAAGGTGAAATCAGGTAAGATCACAATGTCTACTAACTGACTCCATTGTGGCTAAGTACTAGCAGGGCCATCTACGTGCAGAGACATTTCACAAAATTATAAAAAAACAAGCACAGCATTTTCCCCATTTTTTATTTATTTTCCTCGGTGGCATCGGGTTTAATAATCAACATCATGATCACAATATAATTTTATCTTTGTTATCAGATTTGATTAATGTTATTAACACCAATTTGTTCATCCAGATAATTTGTGGTTCAGATATGTACTTCTCTACTTATAATCACATGGAAAAATTTAACAAACATACATAATTACTTTTTTTTGCATTTGTAGGCTATTGCCAAAATTAGAAAATAGGCTATTAGATATTATGACTTCCTCTCCTTCAAAGATTCATCTTAATAATATTAAGAGCTATTCACATTAAGAAAGGTTAAAAAATAACAAACATGTAAACTTTCAACATTATCACATTTTATTTCTCGTATGACAATACATGTAAAATATACTTATTATCACATTATCCCATCACCAGTCTTAGCCATACATCAATCTTTTGCAGGAATAAACATCATTCTTTTATATATATAGAAAGAAGATAAAAAGGATCATATATATATATATATATATATATATATATATATATATATATATATATATATATATATATATATATATATATATATATATATATATATATATATATATATATATCATAGCATAATAAAATAAACAGAACTTGCATACTAAAATATGACAGATGACTTGAAGTCACGCTTATCAGAAAACCCACCTTCTTAATTTTGAAGGGTTCCACTTTGCAAGACCAGAAAACTTTTCAATGGCCAATTTACAGGTAATCATTTACATATTCTCATATCTGTGTTGCATTCTCAAACTTCACAGACATTGATTATTGATAAAAAATAAGTGTAGGTGAGTGTGACTGAGATTATTAAAAAGGAATACATACTCTATATACATAGTACACATAAAATGGACAATTTATTCTAACCCCTTTATATAAAGCATGTAAATGTTTGTGGTTATTTATATATTTATTATTTTTTTGCTCAGTCAACTGCTAAGGCATTTTTTAAGAAAATACTGTAAATAAATGAGAGGTAAACATTCTTTGCAATCTAAAATATCAAACTGGCTAATTCCTTGTTGCCATAATTATGAAACGACAAGATATAAATGTACATCTCACTTGGATCATACACGTTATCACTTATACATATGAATGATTTTCATTCCAATTTTTTTTACTTTGATTACTTTGTAGTGATCATTGTATGATCAGCTGTATGTATACCTGTGGCATGTATACACTCTAACAAGCCAATTTCAAATCAAAAGATTATATATGAGAGCAAGTAAAAGGTAAAACATAAGAGGAAGTCTAATTACAGGAAACTATTACTGTGTATTTACATGGTACCACAAAATATAACAAAACTTTTATTACATAACCAAGAAATCCAATGACCTAAGACTGCAAGTGAAATACACTTTACTAATCAATTATGTGGTGCCTTCTAATATGTTACCTGATGAAATATCTTACAGATTAATCATGTAATCAGATCCAAGAGTATAGGGTACTATATATATATATATACTTAAGAAACATAGCTAAAACTGGTACCTCTGCCTATTCACACCTGCAAGGAAACTTACAAATTAAAATAAATACAGAATAAACAGCAAATTAAATGAATAAACATCTGTTATTTTTGTTAGATATCAGATCTTAAGTCGAGTTCATACTTACTACATATTGTACAAACAGCAAAAATGGAGTTTGTATAAAAAAGTTATCTAATTCAAAAGAAAATCTGACTCTCACCTTAGCTGGTACAATATGCCTGTGGCAGAATAATCCCAAAGTTAGTTTTCTTACTGCAATAACCTAAGCCCTTTAATGCTCTTAAATACCTCTGCCCTACCTGTAACAAATTGCACATGTCTGCATTTATGGATATTTACACAATCAATGCTTATAGTTTTAAGAATAAATAAACTATTGAATTCTAGTAATACAGTAACAATAAACATGTGACTTAACCAAAGGAACCCTAGTACTGTATCATTTCACATCACACACTCTGGAAGAGGATCTTTTAATCAGCTTATAAATCTAACCCCAATATATTAAAATGCAAATTCACATCAGATTTTTGCTAAATTTTTATCTTTACAGATTTGTGTTCATATATTTGTATTACCTATCAATACTGGTGATTCAATTGCCATACCAGAGAAAGGAAAAATCATTTCACATGATTTACTATCAATCCTACTTGCAGGACATGGGATAAAATCATGATACAGATAAAGTACAAGAAAGAATATACTAAAAGAAAAAAAAAATAATAATGATCAGGACCAAAGAAACCTGAAAGTACTTTGTTATACTTCTTATGAAAGATAGATAATGAGAAACAACAGAAATGCAAACTTAAATGTACATCTCTTGGGATATAACTGTTAATATCTAATGAAAATATCATTTCCTGGAATGATATGTACAAGGAATATAGCTATCATCTTACATAAATATCAGTAATAAGCTTTAATGTGAAGATGCTTTATTGCATATCTGAAAATCATTTGGCATGTACATACTATACATACTCTCAAGCAAGATTATAAACAAGATATAAGATTATCAATTAAATCTCATCAAATGCTGACTAGGATGAAACACACACACAAAAGAACTTGAATATCTCACCAACAGTAACAAGACTTTTAGTGAAAAAAAAAAAATAATAATAATAAATAAATAAAAAATAAAAAATAAATAAATACCCACCATTGATAATCTTCGGGGTAACAGTTGGGCTTCGAGTGGATGTAGTATTACCAATGAAAGGCCACTTGAAGAAAAGAAAGACTAATGTGCACCAGGAAGATACACCATCCTTTTTCAAAATCATTTTCAATATACATAAAAAAAAACATAATCTGGGAGTTAAAGTAAAATCTTCAAAACTCCTGAAGGGCCCCCAACTCAAATAGATTTGTGACAGTTTTTACTGACATACTGCACTGATTCTAAGACAATCCATTATTTGACTCGTATGTACAAGTTGACCATTATACATTAAAAATTAAGTTACTGTCAGCATCAAAGTAATAAAGTAGTTTTTCATAAAAATCAGAAAGTGTATCAGATAATCCCCTATCTGCCGGGCTACGCCTATAGCCATCATAACAAACAGACTTATCACACCAGGTATGGCTATAGGCGTCGCAACGTGCTAGAGTGAGTCGAGCGGAAAGTTCTGCTACATGTAGCGGACTCCCGGGCCAAATGGCAGAACGGTTGCCATAAATCACGAGAGTCTGTGACGCCCAGAGATTTCTGATATTGTCATTGACAGGTTAACAGTAGAAGCAGAAAAAAAGTGAATCCTTTAAGTACAGAAGGTCCAGTAAATGAAAAATATATTCTACATTCACCAAGAATTATGACCCACATTTAGGTCATGATTTATCTATTTCTAAAGAAACAGACTTTTGAAAATTTTATTTTCAATTATTATTTTTCAAATCATGTCTGTGTATACAAAACCAGACTATGATAATCCATTCACATCCTAGAAAAAAAAGTTTTACCTCTCAACCATCTTCCCAACAACTGCTTACAATTAGTACTAAAAGACATCTGTGCAGCTAATCAGTTATTGATAAGGCACCTGGTCATCAAAAGTCTCTTTCCGAAGCTCACAGCCAAATACAACACAAGCTCAACAAAAAAACAGAACAAAGAAAAAGAAAAGAATAGAAAAAAAAGTAAAATGTAAGCCCATTCTGACAACACTCACACTAAAAATTTGCAAACTGATATTAAAGGAAATCCACAAAGTCTATATACATTCCTCTTCTTTATCATTTTCTGCAAATGAAGGTACTGTGTTCATGCGTGACAAGTGTCAGCATGGATTCCATAACTAACATCGAGTAGAAACAGCTATATTATGTTTTCCATAAAATGTCTTTTCTCACCTGCCATGCCTATTTCTTTGAAAACAATTATTGTCTTTATTTCTATGACAACTAAAAAAAAAAAAAAAAAAAGACTTTTACATTGTTTATGACTGAGCTCACCATAATGTGATATTGTTTTGACAGCTACTGTATTGTGCTTTCCCATTTCTTCAGCCTACACATCTGCATCAGAATCTGCAGATAAAAGGAAGCATGAGATATTAGCTGCAGCCATTTAGAATGCACTTTATTTCTAGTTACTTTTCTCTTTTCATGAAAGCTTATGTTTATATGTCAACAACTGTATTCTACAACAAGTTGAAACTGATAGAAATCCTATCATTATACATATTCATTTTATATCAAGCAATGCTCACTTCAGATTGCTCTGAATTTTAAACTAGAGTTGCAAGCCTATCTTTTAGAATCTCTTTGAGTGGTGTTTATACTGGTACATGTCTATGTGTAACTGGATATGTGTAGAAATGTATGGGTACAGTTGTGTATATTTAGTAGAGTATATATAAGCAATTCTATGTTGACACCTAAGGAGAGAAGACATTATGTATTGATATATGTGCGTATCATATACATGTACTACATTTTCTATAATAGTTTCTCCTTACAAGATTCATTTATAAAGGCCTAAAGAGTAACATAAAATTTGGTTGTAATATTGAGCCAGTCTTTAATATGCGCTTTTCTTTAGAACATAACTGTGACAAGTAATGACATCATCTACGGCATTTTGCTATTCAAAAATCAAAGAATAACAACTTTCATATACAAATATTATATTTACTATTTCTTGTGAGTTCACTTAAGTGGTATAAAAAAGAAAAGCAAACAAAAGATAATATAGTGACCAGACAAGTATTGATACAAAGACATACAGCAATACCACATACTAATCCAGAATAAGATATCCTAGGAAAAAGCCTACGAAGGAAGGGGTTCCAGGAAATCTCGTTCAATGACAGCCTCTATGTGTGCCAGGCTGGAGTTGGGAGTGGCTGAGGTGCCTGAGGCAGATGACGGCCCTGAACTAGGCAAGGATGTGGAGGAAGGGAAGGAGGAGAGGATCCCCGGGGGAGTCTGTCCGATTGTGGCTGCTGCCGGTGTGAATGACGGTGATGTGAGGGTGTTGAAGAAGGGCTGCAGATCTAGCAGGGTTGATATACTGGGCATCTTCAGCAGCAGTTCCCCAGGACGGTGTTCCAGCATCTTATTCTTTCCACTTCCAGGCTGAAATAACAGGTTGAGAATTTATCCGGTTCAAATACCTATAAATTTACAAAAAACTATGCATGAAAGAAGCTAAAAAAAATCAATTGAAGATTTTCTCACCTTATCTGCCATAAGTTTTGCAATTCTTGCAATATGGGGGACAAAATCACAACTTTTGAGTAGGATGTTTCCAGCTCCTTCTGTCTTCTCTTCCACTTCAGTTGTTGGAACTGGACCAACAAAAGCCCATCGGTACCTTCAAATATTAAATATTGATAATATACATAAATTACTAAGTTGAATGTGAATCCCAACCATGTCATTATCAATATTTCATTACAGAAAGATTTTTTTATGGAGAAAGGTATAGGGTTTTCCTACTCCTGAAAAAAGGAGCACTGAGGCAGGAAATCTCATGTACCCTCTGACAGCTACTCACATTTGGAACTGTGGCAGATGCTGGGCTGGAAGGGCAAGCATTAAATCCAATAGCTTACATGCTGCTAGGTACAAGGTCAACCATGCTGGATGGTTGTGAGCATTTAGTCCATTCTGTGAGCTAAAAACCCATGAAGAATCTAAGGTAGAAAGGCGCTTCAGGTGTGAACTGGAAGCAGAAACAGTAGTGAGATTAATTCTCAGTCTTGCAATGAGGAAATCACACCAACATACAAAACTGCTGTCTGAAATTAAAGAAAAGGAAAATAAAAAAGAAAGAAAACAAAGACTATCACATCCTTTAATTTATGACATTATGAGAAGGGAATTAATTTTCTTTATCTTGGGGTTATCTCACACAAATTATCTTTTGACTGAACTTAAAAAAATCAATATCATTTTAAATTTATAATAAAATTAGCAACATACAAAGTTTCCAGTTACCTTAGTATCTTATTCTGTACAAAGCTAGCGCAGTTGGCTTTAGCATATATCCTTACACTGATATCATCAACTGATCAAAATGACAAAGCATAAAGACATAAGTTACATAAATCAGGAGAAAAGCCGATACCTCAAAAAAGTCCTATGACATACAGAAAGCACCATATGAATTAACATTCAATACATTATTACAATTTAATTTCCAATAACATTTCATAGCAATCTACTGCCCCATGTCCCTGTGGCTAGGGAGTCTTTCTGATCATTCTGAGATAAATGCTAGTTATTTTACATATCTTTGAAACCGCTAGGTAAAAATAATATGAATTCTATGTTGAAATCAGAAGTGTATATTAAGATATTTCATATTATCCCTAAATAATCTCTGATGCTTGTAGGCATAAATGGTATAAAATCAGTACTGTATATCATGAGGTTTTGTATTCTCTTGTTTTTTTATTACAGTTTTCTAGTACTAGATTTAAGAATATTATAATCATATAGCAACTGCAATTGGGCATTCAATTATGCATTATTTGCATACTTTAAAATCTCAGGCAAATCAATTTATATTTTGAGATTAAAAAACAATGAATCAATGAACTTTATTTCTTAAGCAAGTATCCTTTTTGGAGTGATACTATTATAGCATGTGTACCATCTACAGTATATGGTATAAAAAAAATACATTAAGAGGTTTAACTTCAAAAGGGCCTCTAGTAGGTGGGGTGACTGGGGGTTGAATCAAACTTAAAATGAACTGAAAAAAGACTGAAAAATAAATAAAAGAGGGAAAAAGAAAGAGATGGAGAGAACCATGAAAGCAATAGGAAGGATATGCTTGTTTCTGCTTAGTTGCTTTTGGCTGAGCTGCATTTCAATGGCAACAGTAACTTTGTCATAAAGTCTCAGCAATGAGGTAGCATGGGCTGATTTTGCTTTCAAGCTCTGGGGAGAAATATTAGTTTGCTTCCTATATAAACACTTGTTCAGCAATCATTCATGATTTCTTTTCTCACTGTTTTTATATAATTCAAGACTATATATGGTGTCAACTGCCATAAACAAAATCTACATATTGTTCTTTCATTTTTTTTTCCAAACTGATTTAATAAAATATGAATGTACCTATCTCCTTTTATAGTTTACTCAACAAATTGAAATTCCTGTAAGGCTTTTTTTTTAGTTCACTTTAAATGAAAAAGTATTCAGAAAAATATGAATTGGCCTAATCATGAAAAAAAAGTACAAAATGCTCATGTTCTAAGTTGCATGCAAGTGCTTGCATACCAAGCCAATCCTAGCCCCTTGATGCAATTGGTATTTTATATCAAAATGTGACTTGCAACTAATTTAATACATATTTTACTGATCGTAATATATTATATACTTACACATTCCCTGAAATCAGTATCAATTACAGAATATTCTTTGCGTAACTGGAAATTCCATAAGTGAAGATAATGTCATTTGGAGTCACATTTAGAAGACTACAGCTGCCACAGCCATTTTAATATTGTAGCCTCTGATTTTGTGTGATTACAAAACTTTATGGTCATGTGCACTTTTTGTGGGCCTCCTCAGCAGTGCCATTCTCGAGTACTTATCTTACCAGATCGACTGTTAAGTTACAACTTTTAAAATGGTGTAGTGGTGTTAATGATTGATGACTAACTTCTTTTGCACAGAGTTAGTAACTTGGTCAAATTGGAGACTGGCTGTATGTAAATCCATTTCCCTTACACCATGTTCTAGAGTTTGATTGGGCTTGGTTGGCTACATCCTAGAATATGAGCAATAACAGTAGTATAATTATTACTTTTTTTACCAAAACAGACTGGTCTTTTCTTACAGGCCTGTCTATCCTCATTTTTCTTCAACACCCATGCAGAGCGTGCACAGGTTAGACTTGTCTGTGGAAACATATTGGTAGCTATTCTGTATAATGAATACAGAATATTTAACTGGGCATTCTTATTTCTTGCCACATATGGTTACAAACATACAACTTATAAATATAATAGTCAATGGCAAAGGCAAACAGTACCTAAAATTAAGTTCCACATAGATAAGCAACAACTGACATCACAAGTACGGAATCATCTTGCATACCTTATAAAATCTCACATAAATATCACATCTAAAATATATAAAATCACCGTCTATAAATAAGTACAAACAGCAGACACAAAATAAAATCTACATTTCCATTCAAATGTGCAGAAGATTCATCCAGCTACTGATAAAGTTGGAACCTTTGGGGGAAAAAAAAAAAAAACAAACAAAAAAAAAAAAAAATATATATATATATATATAATATTATACACTGCACTGCCTTTAAGTACAGAGAATATCCTCTAGAAGCCTGTTTGCAGTAGAGGAAATCTTAAAAAGTAATTATATCAAAATGTGACTTGCAACTAATTTAATACATATTTTACAGATCGTAATATATTATATACTTACACATTCCCTGAAATCAGTATCAATTACAGAATATTCTTTGTGTAACTGGAAATTCCATAAGTGAAGATAATGTCATTTGGAGTCACATTTAGAAGACTACAGCTGCCACAGCCATTTTAATATTGTAGCCTCTGATTTTGTGTGATTACATAACTTCATGGTCATGTGCACTTTTTGTGGGCCTCCTCAGCAGTGCCATTCTCGAGTACTTATCTTACCAGATCGACTGTTAAGTTACAAGATGCTAACTTTTAAAATGGTGTAGTGGTGCTAATGATTGATGACTAACTTCTTTTGCACAGAGTTAGTAACTTGGTCAAATTGGAGACTGGCTGTATGTAAATCCATTTCCCTTACACCATGTTCTAGAGTTTGATTGGGCTTGGTTGGCTACATCCTAGAATATGAGCAATAACAGTAGTATAATTATTACTTTTTTTACCAAAACAGACTGGTCTTTTCTTACAGGCCTGTCTATCCTCATTTTTCTTCAACACCCATGCAGAGCGTGCACAGGTTAGACTTGTCTGTGGAAACATATTGGTAGCTATTCTGTATAATGAATACAGAATATTTAACTGGGCATTCTTATTTCTTGCCACATATGGTTACAAACATACAACTTATAAATATAATAGTCAATGGCAAAGGCAAACAGTACCTAAAATTAAGTTCCACATAGATAAGCAACAACTGACATCACAAGTACAGAATCATCTTGCATACCTTATAAAATCTCACGTAAATATCACATCTAAAATATATAAAATCACCGTCTATAAATAAGTACAAACAGCAGACACAAAATAAAATCTACATTTCCATTCAAATGTGCAGAAGATTCATCCAGCTACTGATAAAGTTGGAACCTTTGGGGGAAAAAAAAAAAAAAATATATATATATATATATCTATATATATATATATATGAACACACATTTGTAATAAATATGTAAAAAATACCCCAACTACCAAGACAAACAATTATGTCTGACATACAAGATGCCTACCTTTGACTAAAAATCATCATCAACATGAGACAGTGAAAGCAAAGAAATACCAATCATTCACCATAAGAGTCAGGCAAAAGTTAATCAACTATAAAGTATCTGAGCACAGCAGCAACTGGATATGAATGAACGAGCAGATGCATAGTTGCAAGACCAGCCTACTGGAGGAGACTATCCTGTATCTACCAGTTATTACCTGCCCCCTTTCTTGCTGTACGGTCACCAACGCACCACCACCATCAACAAACGCAGGTGAGGGAAGAGATATATATAATATATATATATATATATATATATATATATATATATATATATATATATATATATATATATATATATATATATGAACACACATTTGTAATAAATATGTAAAAAATACCCCAACTACCAAGACAAACAATTATGTCTGACATACAAGATGCCTACCTTTGACTAAAAATCATCATCAACATGAGACAGTGAAAGCAAAGAAATACCAATCATTCACCATAAGAGTCAGGCAAAAGTTAATCAACTATAAAGTATCTGAGCACAGCAGCAACTGGATATGAATGAACGAGCAGATGCATAGTTGCAAGACCAGCCTACTGGAGGAGACTATCCTGTATCTACCAGTTATTACCTGCCCCCTTTCTTGCTGTACGGTCACCAACGCACCACCACCATCAACAAACGCAGGTGAGGGAAGAGATATATATAATATTATACACTGCACTGCCTCTAAGTACAGAGAATATCCTCTAGAAGCCTGTTTGCAGTAGAGGAAATCTTAAAAAGTAATTATTATCAAATGTATAGATTAAAATTTTATTTCTGCAGGTTGTCTGTTTTGTGAAACTTCTTTGCAGTTTCACTTTTTTTTTAAACATCTACTTACAAAGTGAACAGTGTGGTGACAGGCTACCTTTAAAATTGTTGTGCCTTTCATTACTTCTACAAAAAACAAAGCCTTTGCACCAGTATTCATAAATCAACCAAACTTAATTTTTGTGCAGCATTAAAAGGTGCATTATTACTTAAAGGCTAATTTGAAACCTCATTCACCAAATATTCCAAAGTCACATCATACCTAAACTGTTCGGTGTCAGTGGCTAGTTCTTGCTCCATCATGAGGAACACTTGCACCAGCTCTGTTATGATCACAGGCCACAGCGAGGTCACACCACGTGGGGACATCCTCAGGAGAAGGACACGGAAGCAAAGTAGCACTTGGGCGACGAGGGAGGGCACCACTTGGCCCAAACGGGTCACTTCAGCCAAACGTTCTAGAATTTACGGACGTTGTAAAAGTGATGTGTATATTATATAGAGAGACTTTATATTTTATCTTTGTTTCAAAATATTTCTTTTTTTAACTCATCACCATTTTATTTAAAAATTTATATATTAGCTTAAAAACTTTGAAAATTTTCTGCAAAATACTGACTCACCACTGATATTGGTATCTACTGTCATTTTATTTTGTAAACCTTGTTTGCTTTTGCACACGCATGGCTCCACACGAGCTCAGCCACCAATGTACCAATTAGTAAGCCTATGTGTCCTCAGCTGATTTCCTCTTTCCTTGAGTTTTTAGGATTTTTAATATCTATTAATATCAATGATGCTATTATTGTTTTTGACATTATGATTATAACTATATTATTAACCATATCAATAGCAATAATAAAATAGATAAATAAATAAACAAACAAATAATGGAAAAGGGTAAACAAAACAGATAGGCAGAACTAGTCATTGACTCCTTCGTGACGAGCACTTGTGGAGCCGTGTAAGTGTAAATACAATCAGTAAGCAAAAAGACAGTGGACATGACATGTAATCTTGCTAGAAGTGAAATCTAGGATGTGATATTCTAACAGTTTTGCATCTTATTATTTCCTTAAAGCTGAGAAGGTTGTGCCTGTGCTTATTTCTTTTTATGTTATATTACTAGCCTTGAAAACTTGAGATTTGGTGCAGCATACACAGAATATGTATTGTGTGTCTGTGCATATAAAAAAACATGTAATGCTTTATTCTCCCTTATATAACCCTTGATATATAATTGATCAAAATCTGTTATCTATATATCTTTGTTATCTAACACTGACCTCCATCATACTGACATTTCAAACCATGCCATGTTGGCAACAAAGTTTATAGCTAGATGCAGGTAATCAGGATTATCTTACATTTTCTCATCTAAAATTTTCTATAGAACATATCGCAGTTGGATAATAGTAGTTACTTGTATAATGACAAATAAGAGATACACACACAAATTAATCCACTATGAACTACCCCTTACCTTGGATATCTGGTATGTGTCGCATGTACTGATCTGTTTCTGAGCAGAAGATGGTGAATGCCAGCCTCTTCAGCAATCCTGCTCTAATTTCATATTCTGACTCCTTACTAGAGAAGAGACTTAGTGATCCTCCTTGGGACATGGATACACGAGCTGGAGAGGGGATCAAATATACAAGATATCAAGTTAAGCATAATACAATATGCACAGTTCTATCAGTCACAGTCAAAAAAATATTATTCAAGAAGGAAACACCTAAAACATCTCATTTCTTTTAATTCTGTTTAGTTAACCCAATGGTGACGGGTGAAGAAAATGAAAAAAAAACTCTACGCTCTGGCAAACAATGGCAGCGCGCCGGCTTTGAGCGCATGAGTACGGTACATCAGCCCGAATCACTGGCTCACCGCGCTTTGGCGAGCTGCCGCAGTGTACAGTCGCACACCAGCTTTCGAGCGGTTTGTTTTCACGCCTATTGACGTCACCCGTCGTGAAGGGGTTAATCATAATACTTTATTCTCTACTTACTCAACAATTCCTTAAACACAGTCTTGTCATGTGTGCAAAGAAAGTCTACAATAGTCCGCCAGTATGTCAGAATCGGTGGAAGCATCATGAATGCTTGTGGGTCTAGGAGAAGATCGATAACATCTCGTCTCCAAGCTCGCAGAGTATACTGGTAACCCGATAACGATGACAGCAACTGAGAACATGCAGCAAATGCAGGCATGTTTGACCGGCTGAAATAAAGTCAAAAGGTGCAATTAATTTTCATGTATGTATGTATATGGAAATAAAGAAACAAACAGACAGAAAAACATACTGCATTTACTCTAATAACACTCTGCAACTTTTGCAATACAAATGACAACTTCTCAGAAATTTAAAATCCTGAAAACGAATGGGTAATGACTAGGTCTATAATGAGCTTGGAATAATTCCACAGGCTCTTAAGATCTTAGAAGTTCACAGTTATTTTGTACAGTATCTGATGTTGCCTTCAGGGCCCTGGCATGAGTCACCTGAACTTATACTAACTAAACAAGAAAAATAAGTAACCTATAACCAACTCTTCTGTATCTTTTTATAAATAACTTGTATGCAAACAAACTAAGAGCTGCTTAAAGGAACTGGTTAATGAAAGGAAAACTTACGTGTGGTTACGCAGATATGGAACAACATTAGCCATGATGTTTGTGAGTAGAGGAACAACCTTGTCTTTCTCCTCACTCACATACAGTACATCTAGCAGAGGGGCTAATAATTCTGCAAGGACACTTAATGCTGCTACACTGTATGCCGAGGCATCTGAAAACAAAGAAAACATATTTACTGTAAAATTTACACATTTCCTTTTCAAAGACACTGGAAATTTGTAAGAATATACAGGATTATAAAAAATAACAGATAAACAGATAAAAGATCAAATCTACATCAGGCAGCAGAATTCCTCTGTAAGAGTAAAGAACTTTTCATACAAAACTAATTCTCATCTCACCATTCATACCCTCCTTCTTCTCTGCTGTATCAGTCTTGACTGTAAGGTTTCGTCTTAACCATGTAGTCGCCTCAAGACAGGAACCTGCAATACTACTACAGCACTCTAGCAACTTGCTAGATACCTCCTGAAAATCAGTTTTTACTGTTAATTTAACATAACAGGATATAATTATGTGCACAGAACACCATGAGTCCAGCAGATGCTTACACTATCTACATTACCATCTAAATTCAGCATGTATAAACTAACCTGAAGTTCCTTCACATCTTTCTTTTCCTGAGGAGCGGCTGCTCTTTGAACAAATTCATTCAGTGTTGCTAGGAGAACCAGCTGGGCGGGGGGTGACAAACCAATAGTTCCTTCTTTCACCATGGTTAAAAGTGGTCCCCAGCATTCACCAAGTTGTGACCCTGGACACTGCTGAACATACACATAGAACACTTGCAGGACACTAACCTCCAATGGCAGGCCCTGTAAATTCAAACAAATAAATTATCAATAAGGCTATAACTGCCTATAACTGCAATAAGTCTGTAACTGCCCCTGAATCATATAAATAACATCTTACATTCTAAATCATATCATTCATGCTGCATATTTCACATGCCATATGTTTCCAAACTCTTTCAGGGATGAACCGAAAAAAACACAATTTAAACCCTTTAACAAAATAAGAGGCAACTTACCTGCTGAGCACCATCAACTATTGGTGGTTGCTTCACCACCTGTTTGACAGTCGCTACTAGTGTATGCAGAGGTAACACTCGTAGCAAAGACATCATCTCTACAAGAGCCAACTGATGTGGGCTTCCACTCCACAGTAGGCCTCCTATACCACTTTGTTTATTGTTGATGTTAGAGTCATTGCTAAGGCCAGCATTACTGCTTGCTCTAATAGCTGAGGCAGCAATGCCAACCCCCTGTAATATAGTAATGGATTTATGACATTGCCTGATAATTCATTATTCAACAACTGTAAATTACTGAATCTTCACTATGTTACATTTTCCATTGTGTACATTACAATGATTGGATTGTTTTACAGCAAATCAACTTCAATCTTTTAAAACAAATTATAATAAATCATTACAACTATATATCAAAAAGATATTAACACATAAATTTACCTGCCAAACAACACTGATAGCTGCAAGAAGATGTGGTGTCTGGTGGTGACAGATGGGTGATAAGAGCTCTACAATGTGTTGTCTCACAGCCCTTCTACTGCCAAGTACAAAGGCTGAATCCTGGTCCTGTCCTGTAGCCACCCATAAAGCCAGTAGGGCCGAGATGATTCTTGGCAGATGGCAGAGGAGGGTATGGCGAGCACAAGCAGTTGGGTCTAATCCACTGCTGTCTACAGGAGCATCAAGGATTTCACCCACTGGAGAAAATACATGTAGCAGATTGTATAATATCTGTCCTGCAGTCTGGCCTGAAGGAGGTGCTGAAGATGCAGGAAGAGATGACGATGAGCCAAAAGCAGGTGACTGTGCTGGATCTAAGAGGCAATAATGTACAATAGTTGTGAGACTTTGCAGAAGGATAAGTGTATAGTCAGGTGGAGCATGAGGTGGTACAGCACCAGGCAGGTAATAGTGGGCCATTCCTTCCAAAAGTTCACATACATGGTATGTAACAAGTAAACTGTTATTAGGGAGTGACGGGCCCATATGTGGCAGTGCTGCTGTAAAAAGGTGCAACCAAGATCCATGTAAATGCCGAAGATGATGCTGTTTTAGTGCTACAGTGATAACCTCCATGAACATGGGCTGTGCTGGAATTGGCTGACCAGGCTGATATTTAGTGGTACTAAAGCCAGTATACTTCATGCTGACACTTGGTGGATCTCTCACCACTGCACCCTCTAGTCTATCTGCAGCCAGTGTGTCTTCTAAGCGGATGAGAGCCAGTGTTAAGTCCATCACTCGAGCTAGGTAGGTTTCCAAGCGATGTACAGCACCAGTGTTGTTGAGTGATCCACAGTTGTATTCTTGGACTTCTTCAGTAAAAGTGCGTGTTTCCTGGGATGATGGACGTTTCTGATCTGTAGTCACTGATGTACTCGCACTGGTCATGGCATGTACAGATGATAGTAAACAGTGAAGCACACACTTCTGAACTTTGCATTTACTGAGCAGATCTGTAATATATGGGGTGAAACCCCTGGGGGCATCAGTCACTAATGGTGACAAATGTGTGAAGACTAGGACTAGAACCTCAGCTGATGCCACTTGCACTTCCTGGTTATCTCGTAGATGTTCATCCCGAAGACGGAGATGAGGAAGGCACGGATAGTAAGAACGCAAGTAATAAAGGCATACTGTGATAACTACCTGAAGATACATAGTAGACCGGAACTGACTGACCATCTCTGACACATTTCCACCATCAAACCCATCACCAAAAACAGATCTGCGATGTCTAGCTAACAATACGATGAGAGGTGAGGTTGACTGTAGTGTACTAATACTAGTTGATGCTAGAGTTAGAAGGGATAACTTTGGTTGTGCTTCAATGATATTTCTAATTAGGGACAATCCATTTGAACACTGACCACTATCAACCACCTGAGTGTACAGGAGCATGTGAGAGTGAAATGGATGTCTTGTTAACTCTGGCACAGTTCCATCACTTACTACAGACTGTGAAACTGTATCCTGTTCACTTGACCCATCACTTTCAGGATACTTGTATCGTGAAGTCACAACAGCATCTATCACCTCCTCAAGAATACTCTGAACCATCTGTGTTGGTGTCCAATTTTCATCATCTGAATCTCTGCTACTTGATACTGTTGATTCACTTGTAACTTGTTCAGGTATCACTGTAGTTGAAAGCTTCTGGTAGCTGCCATTTTGGATTCTAACTGCATTAGAAAGATTTGTTGGTTTGTTCATTTTGGCCAGATCTTCCATATCTATCCATGGATGCTGAGTGAAAGGATTAACCATAAGAGATATTGATGCTTGTAGTTGTGGCTGCTCATGACTAGAAGGCAGTTCAAACTCCGTAAAGTTTGCATTGTGAGTGACAATCTTCTTGCTGTCTTTGGAAATTGAAGTAAATGCTAATATATGTTTGGCTGGGACAGGCATGTGTTTTCCCTTCCCCTGACTTTCTCTTCCTTCCTTGCTCACATGGTACATGACCTCTCCTCCTTCAGAGCTGATGGCATAGATCTGTGACTCCTCTAGAGATAATTTGTGACCTTGGCCTTGCTGGACAGGAGGCAACTTCTCAATGTTCACGTGCTGTACACTAACTCTTCGGGTATGTGGGTGCAGCAATAACACCAGGATTGGGTCTATGAGCCTAGCAGTGTCACTTCTCTGAAGAGTTGTAGCAAGCCATGCATGTGCAAGGCTACGCTCTATGCCACTATCCCCTCGAAGACGTTCAACCATCAAGAAGAGACATCTGCAATTGGGATCAGTCTATTACATCCATACAAGGTTGGCAGGGTAATTCATACATACATACAAACAATTGTAAACACTCTTATACTTAATCTTATGTAACTATATATATTTATACTTTACAAATACACAAGTGGAAAAGTTACTGTATAGATAACACAAATGGATCTGCTACAAAGAAGAGATACTGGATGGTCATTTATACTTGCAAGTTGAATGTCTAATGTAGATGGAGAAGCTTGAAGATTTATACTTCAACATTCAAATTGAACATTTTGGTATTTTATATACAGTCTAACAGCACACTATTCTACCTTTTCACATCTAAAAATGAGAAATAAATGATTCATGAAAAGAGATGTTTTATCTATGGGATGACAAAGACAGTTGGTTGTACTAAAATCAAATGATTTTGTAACTCCACTTGAATCTCAGATGACATGATCATCACATCATGCCAGGTGACATGAACATGCCGTCAGGGGAAAATCTGGCTGTGGGCCAGGATGACACAAACTTGCCCTGTGAGCATTTTGGCTGAAGGCCCAAGTGACAGGAAAGACTTGCCACGAGTGCCCAAACCTCTTAGAGGAAGATTGGACTTATTTGGCACTTAGAAAGGGGCTTTCGCATCATTTCCATTGATAAATGAGCGTGGAATGTAACAACTGTGAACCATGACTAGAAGAGCGCTGGCTCTGGGGAGGATGCCATATTCATGGATAAAAAGAGAAAATAACATTGCAAAGGGGAGGCACTGAGCCTTATCACCACATACAAGTGCCTGGCCTACAAGCTGTGCAGCCATCAGAGCGGCCACTCACATAAACCTAATACCTGGATTTTGGGCCATGTGGTTGCCATGAAGCAACTGGATCCAGTAGGTTAAGGGGACTGGTGATAGAGTCGGAGATGTAGCAGATAAGCAGATTCAATTAATAACACTGAAGGTTATTGACATCCTTGCAAAAATGTTTATTTCTTTAAATCTACCTATTCAGCTCATCAATTTGTATATCCTCGTTTCTGAACAATTTCTAGTATAAAGATACCAAATCATTTCTGAACACATGTAAAAAAATAAAAAGACCTTGTGAATGCATTGTTCAACAAATAAAGAACATCCAGACATACTTAGATCACTTGAATAATCATAACTAAAAGATTAAATATTCACCTGTCAAACCCTGGGAAATTTCCTGCAAGACCAGAAGATAGGTTTCTTGATACCTGCCACAGTGTCATCCACTGGTGCATGGCAACACTGTCATACTCTGCCCTGATGCCTTCATGACTCCACAGTACTCCACTCTCCTTGAACAAATAAACATTTTTTTTTCTTCAAAATCTTTTGTGTTGTTAAGTAAGAGAGCAAAGGCAAATGTAGAGCATAAACATTTTGATACTTTTGAATGACATGGTATAACCAAGCAACTGTGAAAAATGTCAAATCATGATGAAGGCAGTGGACTCGTAATTAAATATGAATTAATAAGTAAGACTTACCTTCTCATCAGTCACAGGTACCTGCAATGTATATGTGAGAGTGGCAAGAATCTCCCTCTCCACAACAGACATGGGGGATTGAGGCGGAGCAGATGTCAGCGTTACACTTGGGCTGCGAGGAAGAGTCAAGTTGTGTAACTGCAGGAGAAGTTCTGTGCTGCCTACATGGAGGTGACTCATTGATGGCCTCAAATGACTCCAAAGCTGTCTTGCCATGTGCTGAAATTAAAATTATGAAGCTGGTTACTTCATGATTATCATTATATATATATATGTATATATGATATATACATACCATTACATATATGTCACAACCAAATATTTGGTGTATATAAAGCTATAAATATGTCAATAACATAAAAAATATATATCTAAGTCTATTTACATTTGCAGATACATCAACATATACTTGTAAACCTACATATCTATCTATAAATCTTCATCAATTCATCTATCAATCTTCTCTCTCACACAAGAAAAAATGCAAAACAATTAATTTCCTGCTGTCAATTTGTAATCACTGTTCTTAGTATTTCTATACTACTGATCTAATTCTCTAGGCCTAGAATTTCAAGCTGGTATACCTCAATTTTCATGTATTTTTTCTCCCAAGCTCCAACTAACCAGTCATTCATCCTTACATATAAAGTGAAGAAGCACTAACCTGATACACTGTAGTATGATGAAGGAGGATGTGGGTATGTGTTGGTAGGAGTAGAGGGATTATATTAACAGACACAACCCCAGGTCCTCCTTTGCACCCAAGTTCATGCTCACTCCGCCATACAGACAGCTCTGACTGAGCCAACATCACCAACTCCAGTAGAGTAGACACAGATGCCATGACAAAGCGAGGAGAGACTTGACCCCCATTGATGACACACGCTATGAGCCCAACAAACCAGTGAGGAATCTGATTATTTGGCCTGTTCAGAGGGAGTCCAGGAGTCGTAGGAAGTGATGACAAGTCAACTAATATGCTACAAGCAGCTTTGAAGACCTCAAATTGTTCATCTGCTTTGTGGTGCAGCTGCAGGACAGAAGTGAAGTCAGTAATTTCTTTCTGCCCCTGTGAAAAGCCTGAAGATGATGTAGACACTCTTGAGGGAGATGACCAGGGGGATGACTGTACCTTCTTTCCTTTACTTTTGATGGGAGAAGACTGTGTGGATTCTACTTTATTTTCACAGCACTGCAGACATTCTCTTAACAAATAATTCAGTTCTGATAGACTGTCCATCTGAAAACTTCCTGATCTACTGAGAGCACTCTGAAACTCAGCGAGATTTGAATTTTCTAATATAATTTTTTTCTGAATAAACTGCAAGAAGAATTTTTCAAATACTTTGACATAATTATATAATGGCATTGAGCCCTGATGACTAGGGCTCTGAGGTGCACTTTCATACTCATCCTCACTTGCTTCTTGTGATATCAAAAATCGTGACAACTCTGTGGGTTGTGAGGGTATTTCTTCCATGTCAACTCCTGAATCACTGGGCACCTCCTCCAAATTGGCATGCTTATCCTCACCATTGCTTACTGTTTCTCCTTCTGGGTCAACATCAAACAAGTCCTCACTTATCTCAGGTTTAATTGCATTTGGGGTAGCAATTTCATTCTCCTTTTCTACAGAAGTGTCTTGTTTTTCTTTATTCTCACCTTCAGTTTCTGTTTTCAATCTTTCAGAATCTTCCACAGATGAATTTGACACTACTGAGATAAAGGATGTTTCTGCTTCTCCGTCACCTAAGTTCTCATTATTATTACTTTCATCAGTGAGTGAATCAACTGAAAGGTCTTCAGTTTTTTTCTTTTCAATACTATTTGGATCATCCTCACTTGCCTCTATTCCTATCTGTACAATGCCACACTCTGAGGGAGGACTCTCTCTTGCAAAGGCTTCCTGAACAAGCAGAGGTCGAGGAATAGTAGACACTTGAGAAAGAGCATGCATCTGAAGGGATGCAAAGGTAGTGATGCTTGCTCTTGAATCTGGCCTTGACTGAGATGCTGAAGGAGGCAAAGTGACTGAAGGTATGAGTTTGTGTAAGATAGCCTGAGAGAGAGAAAGTCCTGCAGAGAGTTCTTTGGCAGTCAAAGTGCTGAGATGTTCTGTCAGAAGGGAGGTAACTGTAGACAAAACCTCTGGGAGCCTTGAAGCTTGAGTCTGCTGCTGAGTATCATGTGGAAGAGATGTCAGCAGATGTTGCAGCAGAGTGCAAATCTCGCAAACTGTCATGACTGAACTACCCACATCTAAAACAAGTTTGCCATCATCTTTTTTCTCACCCTCATCCATCTGACTAGCTTTGGCTTGACATGCCATGCTGAGTAAACCTGTGAGATGCATCCATGGGTATGATGGCTGTAGGGCACTAAATAGAAGAGTGGCAGTTTTAGTAACCTCATGAAGTCCCCTGTTCCCTTCAACAACTGGTTTAGTGCCATCTGGTGAGCGAGAGGGAGGTGGTGGGGTCTGCTTGTCTGTTGTGCTTTGTCTTCTGCTACAGGGTTCTGATGGGGTGTTATTTGAGGCTTGAAGCACTTGGCAGGTATGGTACAAGCACCTGTGAAAGTTTTTACTAGTATTACTACTTTATAACAATATGATTCCAATATGGACAGAAAATCATAAGGATGCAATTTCTAATTTATAAGGCTGAACTTTTAAAAATCCATTGTGCATCAAGAAAAACAACACAATGGTGCCACTATAATACAGAACACCACATAAAAATGATATTACAATAACCATTTGCCCCAGATTTATGTTCTGGCCCCTGTAGTTTTTTGTGAATGTTGTTACATACAGATGGCTCCATATGTGCTCAGCCAGCAAGGAGTCTGTCAGTAGCCCTACTGACCAATCCTGATTTCCTCATTCCTTGAATTGGCAGGAAAATGTGTTTTTCTTTTTAATATAGTTGACATTGATACTGTTATTATTGTTATTGATGTTATAATTATTAAATTGTTATTAAAATCTCGATAACATTTAAGACAATGAAATAATGCAAAAGACCCTTTCCAAAAATCAAGGAAAAGAGTAAACAGGTGAGATACGTAGGACTAATAACAGACTCCTTGGTGACTAAGCACTTGTTGAGCCATCTATGTGTAATTACAATAAATAAACTTGTATTACATTGGGCATGGCATGTATTCTTGCCATATGGGATGATTCTGATTCTGACCCAAGACTAGATTTAGGCCTTAAATTCAATTCTTGAGACCTCAACACTCACACCAAATTTGGGCTTACCTTAAAAGATCTAGAAATATGTCATCTAGAATGAAAGGCCCAATTTCTGGCTTATCCAGCAGCGAGACTATCAGTCTGTATGGTCGTAAATCAGGGGGATTGGTTCCCTGGCTGGCTTGCAAACACGACACAACCCCTTCCACTAAAAGGGGTCTTGAGAATGTTTCAAAATATGCATTGACTTCAGTTCCATCTTCAGTGTTACTGTCACTCACAGCACTGTTGAGGCGCTTTACAACAGGATGTTCGGAAGACAAGAGCGAGAGGTTGATTTCAGATCCAAGCAACCATGCATACAACCTCCTAAAAGGTAGAGCAAAATGTCAAATGATGATCAAAGAATCTAAAAAAATACACTATGATAATTTTTATATACATATATAAAGAACATTTCAGTAAAAAGCAAGGATTTCTTATTAATTTCTTTACCTGTTCAGGGACATATCTCTTCTCAGTAACACTAAAATGGCAGAGGTGACAATTCTGACCAAGTCTGGGCGTAACAGTTGTGTATTATGCATGGGAAGGGCAGCTAAGGTCAGGTCAAGAGCTGCTCTTTGTACCAACACACTACTATCCTCCATTGCTTGACACAATGCTGAGACCTGTTGAAGATTGACATGTCTCTCAAATAGGAAATATAAAAAGGAAGTTACAAAAGGGAACTATTTAAAAAAATCCCACCCTCCTCCTTTCTCACAAACAAAAAGGTAAACAGTTACTTATAAGATTAAGATCTTCATTCAGAAAGAACACTCACCATAACATCAATATTTGTGCCAAGGATATACAACTGATCTTCTGTGGACAATTTCTTATTATAGCATGATGTAATATGGGTGACGGCAGGAAGTCTCACTCCTGAATTTCCCCAAACACAGTCCCACAAGCAACCAAAGAATTCTGCTTGTCCTACTCCTTCAGCAACTCTTGTTAGCAGCTGAGATGTCCTAGAAGAGAAAGAACTCCTTATCACTAAGATTTTATGAAGGCTGAATTCTAACAGTTATCTTATTCTTCAACAGCCTATATAATAGCTGAAATAAGTCATAATGTCTTAAACTAAAAAAAAATCTTAATGCAGAAAATACAAAACAATAGGGAATCATTAACACTTATCATTAAATATCAGTTGTGAAAGAAATATAGATGATAATGTACATTAGTGGATCAAGTTCACATTTGCTATCATTATGTTTATAAAGTAAGTAATACTCTAATCAGGTTACTACATCTCTAATTCACTAAATTTCCACCCTCCCATTTCATCTAAATAACAAAACCTAGAACATGTTTAAGCATGAGTAATCTGACACTGTTTTCAAAGTCTAAATGTACATAAGGTTGTTCCAGCAAGAAAATATACCTTTCAAGATGATCAGAACCTTCTTCCAAGCCAGCCAGAATTCCTGACAGGAAACCATTCAGTCCTGGGCGTAGTCTCGGGCCCAATGGGACAAAGTGAGTTTCATATACTGTTAACAGGGCTGATCTTACATTCATTGCAGCACTGCTAAATAATGGAAATAAGCCTGAAAGAAAATTTAAAATATTACATATCATTTGAGTTTGTGTGGAATGAAATAATGCCAAATCAGGATATTTCAAAATAATATATTTTCCTTTAAACAAATGTCCATTGTCTGTATATACCCTCAAAATGGAAATCTCCCATATCATTAGGCAATCAAAAAAATGTTCTACACCTAATCTGATTACATATTCTAATGGCTAATAAAACAGATTCTTTAATATGATGATGATAAAAATAAAACAGACTAAAGAGATTCTGTGTGAAAATGAAAAAAAAACTATATTCTTAAAAACAGGACACAAACCTGCACTGTATATGAAGAGTTCTTGTGAGAGCCTGTTGGTCCCCATACACTTGAAGATAATATCATATGTTTCTAAGGCTTTCAAATGGACACCCGATGGCAGAGCTGGGTGCATACATTGCGCTAATCGTTTGCTTATGGTTATTCTACGAGGAACCACAGGATATTTCATGTGGGATAGTA